ATTATTATTATGTTATTTTTTATTATCCGTGAATGTTAGCAACTGGACAAATTGACTGCAGCGGTCAAGGAAAAGCGACCAGAATTGGTCAATCGTAAAGGTGTCATTTTCCAGCAGGACAATGTTAGGCCGCACACGTCTTCGTCCACTCGGCAAAAATTGATGGATATTGGTTGGGAATTGATGTTACACCCACCATATAGCCCTGATCTCGCGCCATCGGATTGCCACTTATTTCGATCCCTGGACAACTCCCTTCGTGGTAAAACTTTGAATGATGATGACGCTGTAAAATCTCACTTAACTCAGTTTTTGGCCGAAAAGGATCAGACTTTCTACGAGCGTGGAATTTTCAAGTTGTCAGAAAGATGGCAAAAGGTCATCGAACAAAATGGAAAATACATTACAGATTAAACTCCATTCCAAGTGAAAAATAATTTTGTATTTCATTGAACAAATCGGCAATTACTTAGTTGCCAACCCAATATAATTTTCAACTGTTTTCATTTTTAACGTATTACGTTCACGTGATAATACGAGATAGCGGATATTTATGCATCTGCGGTATCTGCAGATTTTTAAACTGCAAGCGAACGTGCAAATTGATAAGAGCTGGTAGTATTTTTATTTTATTTTTACAACGAACAATCTTTCAGCTGATAAAGAAGATTTCTCTTCGATCGTAATTTTCGTCAAATGAATTATGAAAATAAAAATTTGTGTGTTGTACAAGTTGTATGAAAATTCATTCATTCGAATTCCTTTTTAAATAACACTTGCATTTCTATTTTATAGACTCTTTTAAAGACTCGTTAATGTCTCAAATATAACGATAAATAAACATACACGTTATTTTGCGTACATGGCATTATGTAATTGAACAAATACGTTCCTAAAAACATTTGGACGAAGAACGACTAATAATAAAATACAATTCGTACGCGTACGTGTTCGAGCAAAAAGCGAAGTAACTTTCTTAAAATTAACTGGAAAATGTCATGATAAAATCGCGTGGTGAAAACGACGGGAATTAATCGCAACTAGTGCAGAAGATTTACGTTCCATGCTTTTCTTTCTAAACGGAGCAAAAATGTGTAATACATGTTGCTGCGACGTTATCGTAAGATACGCACGCGTTTAACTCGAAATTAACCGAACTATTTAATTTCCATTTCACGCTCGAACGTTCGCGAAGAACATCTCGAAAATGGTCGCGTTATATTTCAAAGCTTTTTCTACCTGAAACGATAACAATTATAACATTGTCGGAATGATGATTCATTGAATTCCTGTCAATACTCGTTCTCAATCACACGATACACCTGTATCGTTCCACGCGCACAACCGTACGCCCGTGTACGTGTTAATCCTCGTTTCTCTATGGGACGTTCATTCATAATCGACGCACGTTTATTGTCTGTGACGCATTCAATCGCAATATCCGCTCGAAACCGTTCGCCCGATCAGACATTAAGTTTGTATTAAATTGTTGTTTGCTTTTTAAAACAATAAGGAACAATTACGAATTCACGCTGCGGCGAAAATACAACCTCAATTTCCGTGACGCCAGAGTGAAAATTATAGTTTTATGTGTCCAAGTTTATATAAATTTCGAACATAACAATTTCATAGACAAAGATATATTATTATATTATCCGCTATTATAAATTATAAAATTTATTATACAATTTTCTAGATTCCATCTGTAACATTGGATTCGTGGCTTAACTTGGAATCATTTTTAATTTCCTTGAACAATGTCCAGTAAAAGTTTAGAAACTAATAAGGATAATAATAATAATGCTAAATAATATCAAACATATATCCTGTATTTGCTAAACAAACCATCTGGTTTAAAGCATTAATGAATAAATTGTAAATAAGCTCATGACTTTGTAATTTATAGTTTATGAATTGGACCAAAATAATTACGTTATATCCTAGTAAATTACGCGATTAATAAATTTTGTAATGACAACCGACGATTTCAGTTGTGAACAAATGATGATTTCTCTGAAAGTTATAATATATAGGAGTAAGACTTTTAAGTTGCATTTTTTGATGCAGCAACATGGCACAGAATGCTATTAAAATGTTCTCTGAAAATACTCAAATAAATTATGATTAATTGTGGCATCTCCTTTTTTTGCACCTAACAGTTAGATTCTGTAACTCTCTGAGTGCAACGAGATAATATTTGAAACAATTTCCAGCAATGGTACACGATAAATAGACTGCGGATTTTTATGCGAAATAAAAATTGTCTATATTTGTTTCAAGAACCATAGAAGTCAATTCGCAACTTCTTCCTTTCTTTAATCATTAAAAATCCGCAGCCTAATGGTAAGTGTTCGTTAGTGTTCGCAGTACCTGTTACCTGCCTGAAAGAAACGGAACACCAATGGTTCCGCAAACGGTTTCTCACCTTCGAGTACATTAGGCTAAGCGGCAAGCTCATGGCGATGCTGAGGATCCACACGAAGATAATTTTCAGCGTGACTCTCCGTCTGGTCTTGTTGCGACCGAATTTCATCGGGTATCGTAGGCTGAGGTATCGATCCACGCTTATGGTGCACAGGTGCATGATGCTCGCGGTGCAGAACAACACGTCCAGGCAGATCCAGGCGAGGCAATAGACCGGTGGCAGCGGAAAATATCCTGAAATGATAATTGCTATGTGTACAGATCGCTCGAAACGATTGCAGAACGCTTTGGCCGTTCAACTATAGTGCTAGGTGAAGTCGAAAGTTCGCTCCCTTTTACGATCGTTTATCTTTCAACTAAGATCGTGTGCACTTAAAGTGCTCTATTTGAAAACAATATTCATGTTTTAGCTTGTAATAAGAAATAGGTTTGTTTATTCTTTCGACAGAGAATTTCGGACATATTCAAATGAAATCTTCAAACAATTTTCAATGCATTTAAATCGTCACCTGATTACACAATTTTGATGAATCAATTAAATATTTACAAATTACATCTATAATTATAAATTACATTTACAATCATAAATTAAATGTTATTGCAATAAATTGCTGTTACACTGGGAAAAATAAAGACTATGACGTCTGCAAGAAATATGTTCAAAAACATGTTTTAAATAAAACTGAATAATTATGATAGCGATCTGTTGTCCAAGAGTGAAATGTTACATGGTTAAAACTTTCGTTTATAAAAATTTTCCGAAGCTATTTTATTATAATTTAAAGAAATTTCGGCGATTTTGTGTGATTATGAAAGCACCGAATAAAATCACTAAATTTTGTTTTTTTTCACTGCTTTATTTTAACGAGGGCGAGTGGACGTCGCAAAACAATGAACGCAAAATCCGTTCACACAAATCGATAGGGCATAACAAACGAACATATTACGCGAAAGCAATTTATCTTAAAATTGGAGCTAAAGGTTAAAGCGACAAAGACTGCAACTGTTTCTGGGAGCAATCTAAAAGTTAGAATTACTATTGTTTCCTTTTTTTTTACAATATCCCTAGGAACAATTATTAATATTTTTAAGAAAGTTGCTGCTTTTAAAATTGATAAAAGTACAAATTCGTTTATCATCTATTTATATAGTAATTCCACGTTGTGAATAGGTCATAGGTATACCACTGTGATCAAAAAGTAAGGTGAAATTGTCATTTAAAACTCCCGGACATTAGGAAGGCAGGCAATTGTTTTTTTCCTAGGTTGGTAGGACTGTCTATAACAATTGCCAAGCGTCTGTTTGTTAAAAGGTTTAATTATCTCCGAGTTACACGTGTTTTAGTAAACGACCAAAAGTGAATTTTTCGATTTTTACAATGGGTGATTTTGTTGAGCAAAGAACTTGCATCAAATTTTGTTTGCGGAACGAATATTCTTGTGCGGACACGTTGAAAATGTTGCGGAAGGCCTTTGGTGATCAAACTATGGCACAAAAAAACGTTTATAAGTGGTACAACGAGTTCAAAGCGGGCCGAGAACGCGTTGAAGACGAACCGCGCTCTGGACGACCATCAACGTCTACCGACGAGGGCCACGTCCAAAAAAATTGAAGATTTGGTGCTTGAAAATCGTCGACTGACAATGAGAGACCTCGCTGATAGTGTTGGAATATCATTTGGCTCAGTCCAAACCATTTTGAAGGATGTTTTGTGTCTCAAACGCGTCAAGTCTCGATTGGTGCCATGTCATAC